AGCAATCCAAAAAAATGGCCATGCCGTTAGATCACGCATCCGGAAGAACTTTGAAGGTACCAGCATTTGACGGAGAGATGTCCTGGAACGTTTATAAAACCCAGTTCGAAGCAGCGGTAACTAGTAACTGTTGGAACGGAAAAGAACGAGCAACAGCACTGATACTGGCCCTGCGAGGTTCAGCAGCAGAGGTTCTTCAGACGATTCCGGCGGAGAACCACTTCAACTTTACGTTATGGTGAAGAACACATGAAACAGATTTATCGGTCTCAGCTTAGAAACAGAACGCAACGATCTGGTAAATCCATTCAGCAGCTGGCACAAGATATCGAACGGTTGACATTGCTGTCGTATTCGACATCAGACCCCGAGCATAGAGACGAAACTGCCCTGGATACGTTTATCAAAGCCCTTCGTGATTCGGAACTCAAGCAATCCTTTCTCTTGTCAGATAAACGAAAACTCAAGGATGCCGTTGCACACAGTCTCACTTTTGAATCGGCAAAGCAAGCATCAAAAAGTGACGTACGTCTACGCCAAGTACATGAAGAATGCTCTTGCCAGAAGGTGGTTGTGAAACGCGAACGTCAACAGCATGGTGTACCCCAATGCTGGATTTGTGGTGAAAAAGGCCATCTACGTCGTGATTGTAAACACTGCCTAAAAGATAACTACTGCCGAAATTGCGCGACAAGATGGCGCAAAAGAAGAGAAGATGATCCAGTATCACGATCGGCTCTTATTAGTTTTCCGCCCCTTCGTTAGAAGGGGCGAAAAACTAATAAGAGCCAACTTTGTGGAGCAGAGGTTGGCTAGTAGAATTGACGCCCCCAGTACCGTAATTAACGTTTCCAGACTACATCGAAATCGAAACGACCTAAGGCTGAACGGAAAAGTTGATCAACGAGAATGTGTAATTACAGTCGACACCGGAGCAACAAAATCGATTTTAAGATCTGATTTTGTACCCAATCTGAAGAGACTTCTAATAAATACATCCTTCAAACAGCTACCGGAGGAACAGCACCAGTCTATGGAATGATTCTCCGTACTGTTCAGCTAGGCGACTTGTTATTCGAAGGTTCATTCTTAGTCGCGGATATCATCGACGAATGCATAATAGGTGTCGACTTTCTGACAAAATATGGGTTCAAAATTGACTTAGAAAAACGCATTCTTAGATGGAGAAATACAGAAGTGATAATGGGGAATAGCGACAAAAAATGCATTCGAGTGACAGTCGATTGTGACATAGAACTACCTCAATCATCTGAAAACATCGTATGGGGCAAGTTGAATTGCGATCCTGGGGGCCACCAGTTCTATTTGATGGAGCCAACCTCAACGACAAATGTACAGAACGCGGTCATTGGAAAATGCCTGGTAGAAGCGAACAAAAATGGTCTTATTCCTGTCAGAATAATGAATACCGCTAAACACACTATTAAAATTAAAAAAGGCGAAGAAATAGGCAATTGCCAATCAATAAATTTGGTGAAATCATTAGATATGGAGCAACAGGAAAAGGTTCTACCAACTGACAAGGGTAGACTCAAAGAACTTACCAAAAATCTACTGGATGAACTCAATTTGTATCAAGAAGACCGTCTAAAAGCCGAGGCGTTGATTGCTGATTTTGCAGATGTGTTTTCAACCGGTGACAATGACCAAGGTAAAACAGCTCTGGTAACTCACCGAGTTGATACTCAGGATTCGAAACCGATCCAACAAGTACCACGACGTCTTCCTCTAGCAAAACAAACAGAAGTAAACGAAATGATAACGACAATGCAGAATCAAGGCGTCATCGAACCGTCAACAAGTCCCTGGATTTCGCCAGTTGTTTTGGTAAAGAAGAAGGACGGCACTACCCGTTTTTGCGTTGATTATAGGAAGTTAAATGATGTGACTAAAAAGGACAGCTATCCGTTACCGAGGATTGATGACATCATGGACACTATCTGGCTCAAGTTGGTTCTCTACGCTTGATTTGAAAATACTGGCAAGTAGAAATCGACAAGAACGATCGCGAAAAGACAGCGTTTTCTATCGAATCGGGGTTGTGGCAATTCACCGTCATGCCATTTGGATTGTGCAATGCTCCAGCTACATTCGAGCGACTGATGGAATGTGTATTGCAAGGTCTTAACTGGAAAACCTGTCTTGTCTATTTAGACGACATAATTGTTCTAGGAAGAACATTTGATCAACACGTCGAAAACTTACGGGAGATCTTCGCAAGACTTCGGGTGGCAAATTTAAAGCTGAACGTTAAAAAGTGCAGGTTATTTTCTAAAGAAGATAACTATTTGGGACATGTGGTATCTTCAGATGGAGTTCGAACCGATCCCAGCAAGATAGAAATTGTGAAAGACTGGCCAACTCCAAAGGATAAAAATGAATTGCGCAGTTTTCTGGGATTGGCAACGTACTATCGACGTTTTGTAAAGGATTTTTCAAAAGTTGCCAGACCTCTCCACCAACTTACCGAGAAGGACCGAGTTTTCAACTGGAATACCCTATGCGACTCAGCATTTGAAAAGTTAAAAGTTGAACTATGTGATGCTCCTTTGCTAGCATATCCATTTCGTGGCAAGACGTTTGTGTTAGATACTGATGCAAGTAACAACGGAATCGGAGCCGTTTTGTCACAGCATATAGACGGAGAAGAAAAGGTGCTAGCGTATTATAGCAGAGGATTCACAAAGCCCGAACGAAACTATTGTGTGACCAGGAAGGAGTTACTAGCAATAGTCAATGCAACAAAACACTTCCACAAGTACCTTTATGGACAGAAATTTTTTCTCCGAACTGATCATGCAGCGTTAAGATGGCTCCTCAACTTCAAGGATCTTGAAGGACAGATGGCCCGATGGTTGGAGCGTTTACAAATGTACGACTTCGAGATCATCCACCACAAAGGAACAACTCATAGTAATGCAGCACATGGTCTCTCTCACGTCGACCATGTTTACCAGGATGCAAATATTGCTGTCGTCACGAGGAGAAGATACAATCGGAAGACATAAGAGCAACAACAACATCAGCAGATGACGGTTAGACACCGACGGATCTTGCTGATGCACAGTTTGCGGATGAGGACCTACAACATCTGATCACATGGAAGAAGGAGGGCAAGCGACCGGACTGGCAAAGCATCTCAGAATATAGTGCCGTGTTAAAGGGTTATTGGGCTCTGTGGGACTCATTGTATTTGGAAGGGGATTTGCTGAAACGAAAATGGGAATCAGCTGATGAATCAAAACACCGCATGCAAGTTGTAATACCAAGAAGTAGAACTCCTTGATGAAATGCATTTAGGAGTGAACAAGACCCTTGACAAAATACGAGAAGGATTCTACTGGCTTCACGTTAGAGAAGATGTAGAGAGCTGGTGTCGAAAATGTAACACATGCGCTTCAGTCAAAAGACCCAAAAGAAGGCTAAAAGGAGCAATGCAAATCTACAATGTTGGTGTCCCCTTTGCTGGACCCTTTCCGGTATCAGATTATGGAAACCGTTCCATTCTGGTTGTAGCGGACTATTTCAGCAAATGGCCTGAGGTGTTTCCAATACCCAACCAAGAAGCATGTACCGTCGCTGAGGAAATTGTACTCAATTGGATTAGTCGATATGGTGTCCCATTGGAACTCCACTCAGATCAAGGTCGAAATTTTGAGTCACAACTGTTTGGTGAAATGTGCAAGCTGCTGGGTATAAACAAAACTCGAACGACACCTCTTCACCCACAGTCTGACGGTATGGTGGAACGATTTAACCAAACCCTGATTGAACATCTGGCTAAAGTAGTCGACAAAAATCAACGGGATTGGGATCGTCATATACCATTGTTTCTTATGGCATACCAGAGTGCTATCCACACAACTACTGGAGAAACGTCATCAAAAGTTCTGTTTGAGACTATCTTAAGAACTCCAGCTGATGTGAAATATGGCGTACCACCTGAACCACACCAACCATTAACAGAATACGTGGATAATCTTCGACAGCGATTAAACCATATCCACCGTTACGTACGCCTTAAAATTATGAAAAACACGGAGGCGGCCAAAACCAGATACGACTTGAAAGGAAGCAGTGGCGGTTTTGCTGTCGACAAGTTAGTTTGGCTTTACAACCCACAGCGAAAGAAAGGACGTTCTCCAAAGCTCCAGCGAGGGTGGGAAGGACCTTATCAAGTCATCACCCGCTTGAATGACGTCGTCTACCGTATTCAGGAATATCGGAAGCCGAGAGCAAGAATGAAGATCGTTCATTTGGATAGACTGGCTCCGTACCATGCAGACACCGGAACGAAAGCTGTTCGGGACGAACAGAACTAAGAAGGGGGTAATGTTATAACCGTGCTACAGAACGCACTAGATTCTAGCGTATTCTAGAATGTTCTAGTGACTAGAATCGGACCATCGAGAAGAATCTAGAAACGACGCGTGCGAAGAGTATAAAAGCGCACGTCGCAAGCGATTAGTGAAATTCGTGATTTTGTGATCTCGTGAATAGCGATTCGGTGAATTATTTAAAGCGATATTTGATTTGTTTGTTGACGTTGTCATAGCGATAGATTTTAAACAATTTAAAAGTTAATTGTTGCGTTAATTTGAATTTGCTAGAAATAAACGATTAGTTGATTTCTTCTGTAAATAAAGTTTAATAACTAATAACTGTTTGGAGTATTTTATTCAATCGAAGATTTGAACCCGTCGCATCGTAAATCGGTTACGACAGCGAATATTATAACTATATATATATATATATATATACATGTATACAATATTAATTGGTTTTTTGAGGTTGTTGTGGTAGGTTGAATGATTGAGATGGAAGTAGCAGGTCGACTGTAGTTGTTTGTCTATTGTTGGTTGGTTCTTGGTACATATGAAGCGTCTAGGATTGTAAGAGATGGGAATGTGTTGCTGGCCTACTGTGTTATAATTTCAATCTACCACATTGCCAACATATCCAATAAATATCTTACCTGACCTTGCCATGCCAAGTGCAAGACATTTTTTCAATCTACAATACTGACACCTGTTTCTTGTGACAGTATTGATGTCACAGTTTCTGTTATAATAGCATTTCTTTCTTGTTGGGTCACCAATATCTTGCAGTGCTCTTCTGAAAAAACCCTAGAACATAACAATGTAAAACTGATGTCAAATCATTGTGGTAATGAATACATGGTCTTAATAAACTGAAATGATTTGTTGGAATTTTAAATAACAAATGAAAAAATAAAATATTGTATCAAGCCAAATCACAACTGATTAAATTTTTAAAATTAAACAAAATAATCAATAAAAGATTGCAAACTTTTGATGAGTAAGGCAGCAACAGACAAAATTTTAAATAAAACGTTAATTTATATGATTTAATGTTTAGCATTTTAAAAATGATCTTGGAAAACTATCGGCATCTGAATTCATCCATGAATGAGAGAACTGGGAGTCTGAAAAAACTGAGCCTGTAAGCAGAAAGAAAATAATAAAAGAGGATGGAGGGAAGATGCATCAAGCAGTCCGACGAAAAATGAAACTGGAGACTAACATTTTCTAGAAACCCATACATCTCAAATAGGCTCCGGATAAGATGTTGTTGCCCCATCCGGGGGGCCCTTAGGATTCAAATCGAGGTCGGAGCCAATCCGCCACTACAACAGGGTTGCGCAAGAGGTCTATTGGTTGAAGATCCGTGGTGTTTTGAGGACAGCTAAACAGATGTTGAACATCATCTGTATGATTGTTGCAGAAAGGACAGGTGTTGATGTGCTCACTGTTGATTCTGTTTTTGTAGCTGTTTAGAAGAATACTATGGCCAGATAGGAGTTGGGCGAGGGTCCGTCTGATAGCCCTTGGAAGTGATTCTTCTGAAGGATCTATTTTTGGTGCTGGAGGAGGCCATCCATCGAGCAATAGCGGCGACTGGTACGACTCAGCGGCGGCTTTAGCAGTGCTTGTATGTAGGCTCTTTAAAGCCGTCTTCAGAGTGTTATTGTCGATTGTTGATGGTAGAACTGCAGTTATTGTTGATGACCATTTTGAGAGGATAAGTAATATAGTCTGGGATTTTTGTTTATAAACATTGATGAAGATGACTAAAAAATTTTATTAAATTCAATCATATCCCAAAAAAATAAGCAAATTTTGGACTCTCATGGGAATTAACTGTGGTTTTAAAATTTGGTGATTGGTTTTTAAACTAACAACTAATTCATTTATTTATTTGAGATACAATTTGCTCCAAAAATTATAATCAAAATTAGTAGTTGGATACATTTTAAAAAAATTTAAAAACATTTACATGAAAAATTAAAAAAAAAAACTTGAAAATGAAAGTAAATAATTTTTCAGTTATAAAATCCATTTTGCCTAAAAAAAATCTGAAATTCTTTGAAACATATACAAAAATTAAAAAAAAACAATTTTTTTGAATAAAAAAATTAAATTAGTCTCACAAAACTTTGAGATTTGTTAAAAATATTTTTAAGAAAAAAATATTGTGAAATATAAAAAAAGATTCAAGTAAATTTGCAGGCAAGACTGTAGAAAATGATTAAACAAAATTTTTGTATGTATAAATTTAAAAATGACGAAAAAACTGTTGGAAAATTTAAACAAGCAGATATGCATTATAGATTAGTGTTGAAAATACCTTGCAGCCCTCACAAGCCAGTACTCCATAATGAACCCCTGATGATCTGTCGCCACAAACAAGACACTTGTGCACTACACACTCAGGCTTCTTCATCATTTGGATGTTTTCTGTTGCAAAATATTGCATGAGTTGTTATCAAACATCAAATAATTGGAAGAGACTTTTGACTATAGAAGTATTGTGTGATCAGGAGAATAAAGTTGACACTTAGTAAGCGCTTAAATTTATTAAATATAAAATAATTGAACAGCAGCGAAAACAGATATTATGAGTTTTTTTGCCTAATGCTTAGTTTTAAACATCAAAAACAAATAAAAAATAGTGTTCTAACATCTTTTATCAAATCAATCAATCAATCAATCAATTAGCTTATAAAGCGCTATTTCCGCGATGTTCAACAGCGCTCCTCAATGAATTTTGAAAACAGATGGGTCTTGAGATCCGCTCTGAACTTCGCAAGTGATGGAGAAGTAGTCAGAGAAGTAGGTAGAGAGTTCCAGAGAAAAGGACCAGAAAAAGCCAAAGCAGATTTGGCAAAAGAGTGTTTAACACGAGTTAAGAAAAAGCGAGAAGAAGACGATCGTAAACCGGGGCATTTAGGTTCAATTAATATATCTGATAAATACTTAGGAAATAATTTAGATTGAGACTTATACATGAACATGCAAATTTTAAAAATTATTCTATATTTTATAGGTAGCCAGTGCAAGAGAACAAGATATGGAGATATGTGAGAAAAGAAAGGGGCATGAGCAACTAGACGAGCAGCAGAGTTAAAAGCTTTACTTAAAGGATAGAGTATAGAGTCAGGAAGACCATAGTAGAGCGAGTTACAATAATCAATCCTAGATAAGACTAACAAAGTAACAAGAAGGAGAAGAGTAGGATCATCAAGAAAAGGCAAAAGTTTTTTTATTCTACGTAGATGAAAGTAAGAGCTTCTAGCAACACTATTAATCTGAGAAGAGAGAGACATAGTACAATCAAAGATAAAACCTAGACTACGAAACTTATGAGAGATATCAAGAGTTTTAGAATCGGGTAAGATAATAGGAGGAATAGTAATAGAGTGTTTAGATTTATTAAAACAAATTAATTCAAACTTAGAAGGATTAAGTTTAAGATACATAGAGTCAGACCAAGCGATAATTGAAGAAAGACATAGAGATAAATTATGAAGAACACTATTGAGATTAGATGGAGGAAAAGAAGTATAAATGTAAGAATCATCAACATATAGTTGACTAGAGAAAGAAAAGTTATTAATAATACGAGGTAGTTCAGAAGTATAGAGTATAAATAGAAGAGGGCCAAGGATAGAACCCTGAGGTACCCCGAAAGTAAGAGTAGAGGGGTTAGAAGTAGAATTATTGAGAACAACAGAAGAAAAACGATTACAGAAATAAGAAGAAAACCAAGATAGACAAGAATCAGTAATATTAAAAGAAAGATGCAGCAGTCTCAAGAGAATAGTATGGTCAACAGTATCAAAAGCCGAAGAAAAGTCAAGAGCAAGAAGAGTAAGATTACTATTGTCACTAGAGAGAAGGATATCATTCTGTATTTCAAGTAAAGAAGTTTCAGTCCTGTGAGCAGGTTAAATTTAGATTAAATTTGACCAAAAAGACTTACATAAAGTTTATTCAAAATTTTTATCTGTATAAAATACATTATGGATAAAATAAATTGAAAATCAACTAAGTAAAAACAAATAAAAGAAAATGAATAAAAACATCACCTTTTTTCCCCAAAGCATTAAAAATCAATGACTTGTTTTTTTCTTCAACAGTTTCACTTTTGATGTTTGTTTCAATATCATTTGAGTCGGCAGTCCAAGAAGGCACATTTGTTAAAAATATTTGATCGTCCGAATTTAATTTTGCTGAAGTATAATAATAAACTGGATTGTTTGTGGGTTGATCAAGAACTTTGCCACTCCAGATATCCAAACTTTCAGACTGAGCATTAAATGTATTTAAAACTGAAGTTTGAGAAGGACTGTTTTCGCAGACAGGTTCAACAACTTCAATCCGATCTGCCAGCTCATCATTAGAATTGACAATTTGGTTGATGAAAGAATCATCAGTGTTCGTTAAATGTATCAAATTGTATTGTTTTGGGCTGTCATTATCTCTTTCTACAACAGACATTCCAAGATGCGATTCAGTCAAATAAGCTTGATCCAATGCTGCAGAGTCAGTGCAGTCAGAGCCTGCTAACCTGACTCCCGATAATGAAGAATTTACTTCAGTCATCTAACAGATCCATTTGAATATGTACAATCACCAACTGTATAAACCTTATAAACAAAAATATGAAAAACGTAAAATTATTAACATTAAAAAAAGTAATTCACTCTTTAAGATGGAAATTGATAAACCTTTTTGCTTATATGCAAATATCAAAAAGGATATCATTACCAGTTTCTGAAGAATAATAGAAAATGAAGCAAACACTGAACTTTTGACTTAAAATGCCAAAAGATAACAAAACAAATTCTATGTTGATTGAGATAGCCAAAAAAGCAAAAGCAAATTAAAATTGCATTAATTTGATTTCATTTAAAAAAAAACCAGTAATATCATTTTAGTTGCTTTCATATTATATTCATCTTTAGTGAAAGTTTGAATTTTTAGTTATCAGAGTATTTTTAAAATTCATTAACATAAGAATAAAAAAATGCAACAACAACAACAACAACAATGTTAAACATTGTAGAAATTAGATTTTCCACAGCAAACAATTAGTATATGGTGTAACTAAACCGCAATTTAATGAGTAATTTGACAAGCTCACTGCATGTTCAATAGCTTTTATATATCAAGCTGGTGTCATAGAGAAGTGACATAGGAAGGAAATGAGTTTGGAAGATAATGATTATAAGAATAAAATTAATAATTAACTAGCAATAAAATATATATATATATTTAACAATCAATGCTGGTTTTGGAGAGAATAAGCTACAAAGCTCAATATATCTTACTTTGATTTGTTTTATATTAAATTTATTGCTTTGACAATATAGACCCATTGTTCTAAACCCATGATTGAATAAGGTTAAAGCAAAAATTTGTTTAAACAACCAATTTCAAACCTTAGATAAAAGTAGAAGAAAGTCAATATCATTTGATAATATTACCATAATAAACTACATTGTAAGACTTTCAAGGCTTGAAGGAAGAAAGAAGGCTGGTAGGGGCTATCTTGCTATGTTAAAATCTTGGTGCTCTGTATCTGCCTCGCATACATGATAGAACATTTAAATATAGCTTTTCCTTTATGGATATTCATTAGATATCTACTGCTATAAATGTTCACAAAAAATATTCACTAGCGTTAATCTATAGTTCTTGACCTGAATGTCAACGTGGAGGCATCACAATATTACCCAATGCAGATACCATTTCAAATAAGTTTATCAATCATTGTCATTTCTAGTCTCGCCTCCAATAAAGACTGTAACAGCTCAATTGATAGCATCTATAAATATCTCTAAAAAACTGGACATCTCATAAATTTGTTTTGGTTTCAGATTGTTATATATGTGTATGGAATAGACATTATCTTACCGCATGCACAAGTTGAAAAATAATGCTAAAATACAATATTCAAATGTAAAAAAACCAAATTTTATTATTGCACACTATAAAAGATTACATGCACATTATATTAATACAACACTTACCTAAAAATATTCAATATTTAGTGAGAAGATTGCAATTCATCGGCATATCGTGAATGTAAATGAGGAAAGAGCTAAATTGGAGTTAGTTATGAGTGACATGCTTAAAGTTTTATGTAAACAAGGAACAGTGAAGAGATAAGAGCAAACCTCTTTTTGAACTGGTTTTTTAGTGAGTGCATCTGTCTAATAACTTAATTCAATAGTATTAATATATTTGGTGCAATGCATTAATGCAATGGTAATTCAAACCCATAAATATTCAAATCTCTTGTATATTTATACAAAGGCATAAGAATTTTAAAAATTGATACTTAGTTAATTTATTTGGATTTTTTAATTTCTGAATGTTAATTCACTTTTATTTTAATTGCATACATAAAATGCTTAGTAAAATATTTTTAAATACAAATATGTATTATGTTTATTATAATACTAAATGGAGAAGGTTTCTTTTTTATATTTTAAAGCAAAAACTTATAAATTATTGCAGAATTTTTGTAATCTTAGCACTTTATGCTATCTCTTACCAACACATTTTCATTTAAATAATAATCGACTAATTCGTCATATTACCCTGTTTAAATTTAATAAACTTTTTCTTATTTTGTTCCAAATTTTACTATTTTTAATATTCCTATTTCACTTCTGTTTCCATTTTTTATGTAAACATAATGTTAAAATAAAATTATACATCGAGTTAGGGTTAACGCTCACAAGTATATAAAATTTTTTAAAAATAAATAATAACAAATAATATTTTTATTAAATATAATTTTTATGTAAAATGAGAATTTAAAAATTATAAATTGAAAAAAAATTAAGCGCATCCATTGGTTATGGATATTAATTAATTAATTAGAGACAGAGTCAAATATAGAGGTCTTCAAGTATTAAAAAAGCTAAGGTTTAACTTAACCCAAAAAAATTTATCATTACTTTGGTATTTAGTTGGCATTGGCCCCTTTCAGAATCAGGCAGTAGTGTGGTAGTTAACCGATCACCTCTCTTACAAACTTTGTTTACTCTAACTGTTTATGTTTAGCCAAGTTAGTACACTAAACTAGTGATAAAGATGAGAAACTAAAAGTTAGGCTGGTAGGTAGTGTACTGTAAAAGTGTGCAGAGATTTATGTATTAATCGAGATGTAAGTTCATAGAGTGGACGAGTGCTGAGCCAAACAAAATTACAAACCGATTAACTACAATTAACCATTAACGCCTTCCTTTCTAATGAATCAACAATCGGCGCCAACGAAGAGGCAATGATATATTAAGTATAAGCAAAAATAAGTTATTTGAAATAATAACGCAGTGTTAACATGTTTTATGGATGAATGAAAAATTCATCGCAACCAAAATACGACCTACAAACAAACCA